TCGATTGACATTTGCCAAAAGAGGACATCTCTGGCACCGTCGTGACATCCGGCTGTCTGAAAAGGGGTGAGTTTATTCTGCAGTGCTGTTCTACGGTGCAGAGACTTTGCCATCATGAGAACAGGATAAAAATATACTGCCGGTGTTTGAACACCACTATCTGCGCTGCACTGCATGAGTCTGGTATGAAACCCGAACAACCAATGCTGTGGTTAGGAGCAGAGATTTGGGCAACTGCCATCAATCACTGAGACAAGTAGCTGACCTCCATGGAACACGTTGTTTGGGATATCCGTTAAGTATGTCACCAAATAAATTGCCCCGATGAGTACTATTTGCCAAGGCAGGCAATGGATGGAAAAAAGGTCAAGGGTGGTCAAACTAAGACCTGATATGAGGCTATGAAAACGCTGACCAGGAGACTCGAAGCACAAATGTGCATGGTTAATGGTTTTAAAAACTGAAACTGAACTGGAAGATCAAACCATCAAAGAGCACGCGTAAAGACTGTTGGTGCAGGTTCGCAAACAAGCAACTGACCGAATTGCATCCCTGAACCTTCGAAAATTTATGCCGATTTGTGAGCCTCGATTTTTCCTCAGTTATGTGAATCATGGAGGTACTGCATTTTAAACTAATGCTAGGCTGTCACGTCCAGTAACTGGATTATTTTCACGGTAGAGATTTACATGCTAATTGTTGGATTACATAAACCTTTGCAAATGGGCAAAGATAATTGCTGTATGCATGAAGCCATGATTCAACTCATTGAGAGTGAGCTGTGCAAAAGCTTAGGTGGTGCCCATCCATGGGTTCGAATCCCATGGTGACTACTGAACTGTTCACAATCGACTTATTTGATAAACATAGGAGACAACAGCCAGCTGTTCTTATGTCAATATTCAACCGAAACCTGGGAGCAGGTAGAAACACCCAGATATCATCAAGGGAATAATGAAAGAAAATGTCATACTTGACTTGAGGTAAACGAACTCATGCTCCATGTCCGAGATCTCTGATGTTTTTAGCAGATCTTTGATTTGAAGTTTTGACTCTCAGTCTGAACATACATAAACAATGGTATTTCGAGCTACGAAATTGATTGCTATTCGTTGGCTACCCATCAGATCAACTAACGAGGAAAAGTGAATGAGTAAATCGGAGGTTGATGAAGGGTGAATTAACCAAGACAAAAGCACTGAATAGGCAGAAGCTGCTTTGCGCGAGGTGTGAATTAACGCTCGAACGTGCTTGCTTTTGACACCCGGGCACGCAAATCAACGTCCCTTATCATCCGTTAGACTGATAAAGAAATCGGAAAACGGCCTTTGTGGCCACATCCGGTGATTAAGGTCTTTGTTTTAACTACATGTCATGGCTCCTTGATCTTTCACTTTTGCCAAAAACCTTATTTTTCCGGTAAATCACATGCCAGATGAAACAATGACGGGCGCATGTGTAACATTTCCCGACCACGACAATTCGTAGGTGTTCAAGAACTTGAGATAGCAATCATCTGATACTGTTCGTGAACATCTCTGCAGTGTTGGTTCGACTGTTTCAGCGGACGTATGTCATGCTAAATGAACGAGGCTGACTGACGAATCTCGATAGCATGTGTCCTCGAATAAACGAGATCGCTGTCGTTACAACAAGACTACTCCAACATTTTACGGACAACTGGATGCCAGTATGGTTTAGATAAGATCAGCCTTCAGATATGAAGACAAACCTAAAATAGAGTTTGATTGGAGATGTTACGCAGTCGAACAGATGGGTGATTCTGCAAATCAGCAATGTTCTTTAGTTTCAAGTTGGTTTTTGGACGCCAGGTCAGTTTTATCAACGCCACCCATCACACATATGAAATGTGTGTGGTTGTGTGGGGATGAGTTTTTAAGTGTTTGACCCGGGATGTGGGACCAAACATAAAATACGACCGGCTGTTACGAAGACGGTCAGTGAAGAGGTTGTGAAGTTTTGATCATGATCATACCAAAATGTTATGCTATATGGCCGGGGAATTTGTTGACTCTTCTTTGAAACAAATGAAAACAAGCATGAAGGATAAAACAGTTGGCAAACCCGTAAGAAAACAATCACTCCATCATTTGTTAGACTGATATGTTTGCATGAGAAGGAAGTTAGATATACAACCGTCGGAAAGCAATCAGTCTGATGTGAATGCAAGACACCTTGGTTTCCAGTCCTGGTTTCGTGTGGAAGGCCTCTATATCAAATTGCGGCTGCGCATTGGAGAAAATAACTTTCCCACTGAGTGCACACATTCTAATGGACGATATAATCTGGAAGAGCATGTGTTGCAGTTAGTGGGATCTTGGATTACGAACTTGATGCATACAGTAAAGCTGAGTGTGGTAGGTGATTCCTCACAAACAAAGATTGTTTTAAACAAGCTAAGTCATTGAACTGAGATTCGTTTGATTAGAGAACATAGCACGAAACCATCTCTGTTTAAATAGCGTCCGCGAAATGTCTTTGAGGCTACATACATTTTTGCACACCACTCAGCGACGACTTTACCTTCCTCACTTTTGAAATGGTTAGTGTGGATAACATCCCAATCGGGGGTACATAGATCTGATTTCCACTAGGGAAGAAACATGGTATACAAAAAGATCCGTAAAATTTAGTTCAGTTTGTACAATCATTAACCATGCAATTTCGTGCGCTGGTTTTGTTTACTGTCTTTGATTACCAGTTTGGATGAAGGGGTAGAAGAAAGAATAGCGATTAAAAATCATAGCCAACGAGAAAATGAAGAATCCCGATCAACTATTGTTCCAACGAAGCTGAGGAGATGCACGGGCGCCACTGTTTGCGACACTCAGTCATATCACTGGCTGTGCCTCTGACCATTGATTACAATGATACCAAGATCCCCATCCAAGGAGCCAAACGCGACCTATATGACCGAGTCTCCTGGTCAACGTTTTCATCACCTTGGGACAAACCCTAGTTTGACAACCTTTTACTCTTTTCTACTCCCTACCTGCCTTGGTAAATCGCGCACTGAGGAGGTCGAACACTTGCTCCAGTGGACGACAGCGATAAGTAAAGTACCATGATTAATTAAGGATCAGATGTGATTCAGAATTCAGTAGGCAAGGGACCACATTAAAAAGATGAAGACTTGGGCAGAGTGATTTTCATCGATGAATAAAGTTCAATTTATTGGGACCGAACAGCCTGAGATAATAGTGGCACGACGTCAAGACTCTACTTCAATTATAAGGTAAAAGAATACCCTGAGTGAAGTTTGAGAACCAAGGTCAGAAAACGATGGGAAAAACTGTATATCATATAGGTGGTATCTTGTGAAAAGATTGGTGGCAAATCGAACCATAACAAAATCGTGAATGTTATAGTGTTAATAACACAGTGATGTCGGTAGAGAATTATAACACTGAACGATGTGTCATAACGAAATCGCTTTTGATGGTGCAAATATGCACAAAAGCGCTGCTCAAATATTTCGAACATGTGAAAAAATTTCACATCACCCGCACAATTAAAAATGGCTCTGCCAGAGTATGGTACAATCGAGTGAGTTTAAAGCCACATTCAAACAATGTCAGAAAGTTGGGGTCTATCAAGTTCCTGGGATTTAACGAAGTGTGTTCTATGACACAGTACCATTACCGATATTCTGTACCTCGTCACATCCGTGAGTAAAAATCCTGTTTTAAATTGAAAACCCAAGTTTGAAACAGATGGCGGCAAGCCGGTTGGTTCTCATATCTAGCTTCTTTTGAGGGAGTTTGTTACTGTAAAGCATGTTCAAATGAGTGATATATGTACCTCCCATCATGTAGTTACGGCTTGAAGAAAGATGATAAGGGCTATTTGGGAAATTCTAAGGGAGTAAATCGAAAGCCTAATATATTTTAATTCATGAATTAGAACCCAAATAGATAAAGACAATGTTTGAGTGCCCCAGGGTAGTTCACTGCTGGTAGACACTGGCTTTGTCTGAGTAGTAAATCTTTCTTTAAGGAACCAGAACTGACAAACCGCTTTGAGTAGACACTACTAATCTGGGACTATTACTTTATTTCTTCTGTTTTTTTAATTATGTACTTAATTCTGTACACACTGAACTAGCGACAAGAGTATTTAGGTAGAATGCAGCATTACCACAGATAGACTCCGGAATCTTTTTTGCATGTGTTTGATGAGTTTATTGGAATATAGTAATTCTCAAGTTTCTGGCAGAGTTTAAACGAGAGTTTGAATACAATTACTTTATTGGCTTTGGTAGGAGTTATCAGTTTCAGAAGCCCACTGTGTATGCTGTTCAACTAAGCATTGTGAGAATATTACTAAGCTTCCTCGAGTCTGTGAAACTTGGAGTCACTTATCTATGGATGCAATCTACAGACCGACAGAAACCTAATCTTGTGTTATGTTTGGTAAACAAATATATGACAGTGTAAACTGAACATCAGTTTGATAAACCTGACTAATTAAAACGATCAGCAAGAACTATGCTTCAAAAAGAGATTCACTATGGTGATGCTTACTTTAACACAGTCACATCTGGTGGACACAGGTAGCTTTGCTTCTGCTACAACAAACTAGACCCATGGGCATAAAACGACAACCATTTGCGATTGAATCTTTACAAATTTGGATTTGTCTATTGAATAGAAGTGGGTAACATGATTCTAAATATAAAAATACAGTGAGAGAACAAAATTGACACTGGGAGCAATCCCATGAAATTGCTCCAGTCTTTATTAAGTTTCAGAAATGGTATGAATTCAGTCAAACCACTGCGCTTTGGTCAATGCTAATTTTAAGAATTAATCTGAACCACGAATCCTCTAGCCGTCCTCCGGCCTGCTTAAAGAAAACGCTAAATAGTATAGTACTTGTTTATCACCGGATCTGAGCTGATGTCTCAACAACTGCCTACAATGAATCCGAGAGTATATATCATGGCTTTGTAGAGAAACCTCGGAAAATTTGTTTTTACGTCAAAAGAGGCTATTATTCATATCTAACATTACCTGTGTGCTGACAGCTGTGTCCGGAGGTTCTTCATATGATTGTTCTCGACGAGACTTATTACGCTTCGATTTTCGAGACCAAGTATGCGGAGGTCTTCGTCGGGTATAACGGCGGGACTGAAGTTCATTCAACATCATCGCTTCGTATTTCTCGTGACCTAAAGGAACGTCACAGCACAATAGACCGCCTTGAGCAGTGATTAGCGAATCCAAACCTTCAAAATACAGACGAGATCCTCGGGTCTGTTTGAAAGCACGATCAATCTTTGCCTCTGCTTCGCTCGCCCCACGACGTTCAGCCAGACGGGTTTGCATTAATTCATACTTCCACAAGGGCATTATGTTAGTGCGTTGGAAGTTTGCATGTAAACGATGAATAGATGGCATCGGATCATGGTAGAAATAAGTGGATTCTGGTAAGGCCAAGAGCAATGAACGACCAGAAATTCGGGACTTCTCCCGTATGTAGACCATTTTATCTTCCGTTTGGACGGCCGCTGTGCCTTTCAACTCCACACGACTCAAATTGATCCGATCCATGTTGAATGTGATCTGCATCACATCATAGCCGCATCGACCGACAACAACTCCCTTGTTCTTTCTCGATTCCGATGTGGGCATATTCAATTTGGCCATTCGTGCTAGAATTTCCTCACTGACTGGTGATTTGATTTGGGATATTGGTAACGGATCACATCGTACACGGAGAAGAAATCCTTTGTACTGAAAGTATATGGTCCCATTTGATGTGACCTTGTTCGCCTCACTTGCTGATCTTTTCCGAGGTGGAATCACCTCATCTGTGTAGACTCGAAGCGGTGGTAAAGCGTATTTATACGGTTTCGGTCTGTTATCATCCATACTAACCGCATATCTCTGCCGGACATAAAACATGGCCATTTCGTTTTTTGGCCTTGTTTCCCGATATTCATAGTGTGGTGGCTGGACTTTCTTGTCATTTGGTGGTTGTACGGCAAATCTTTCACCCACATAAAGTGGAGAAAATATAATATTTTTGGTGTAAAATTCCAACTGGTACATGATTCCTGGTTCTTTGGTTATATAAACAACACTTCGAGGTACTTCACCATCGTCTATTGTTTCTATGCCAGAACCAGATTGTGGAGTATTCTTTATTTTTGGACACATAGGTTGTACTTTCGGTGGATCAAATACGTGTTTCGAAAATGGACTATTCGATAAAGGTCTTGTTATTTCACGTCTTAGACCGAGTGCTTTGTTTGCGTTCGAAACGTCCAGGTTATCTCTGGACGGAACAACCATCAAATCACTGCATTCTCCATCCGCATCTAATCTGTGTTGAGGCACTTGAAGTCGTTTGGTACCACCAGTAGTAATTGGACGATGTTTATTCAGTTTGATAGTTTCTTCCGTCCGCTCAGTGGACTGTGGATCCAATGGATCCGACTGAGCGGTCACATTGTCATCTCCTGTTTCTTCGGAAGTAAATGATTCGGTTTGTAGTTTAGGGATTTCTGGTGATAGAATATTACATGTATTCACACCTCGTGCATCCACCTGATTGATTGGCACGGAATGTGTCGTGTGAGACTGGAACACAGTTCCGGGTAATTGCGTGTGACAAAAGGATGACTCATTCGGAATGTCAATTTCAGGAAGTGTGAGACAGTCGACCGTGTCATTCAAATCTGGTTCGTTCAGATACTTTTTTTTATCTGGTGTATTGATAACGGGGGTCCGAATTTTGGATGTGAACAGGTTATCCATTCGGTTCACAGTCCTGCACTGTTAATACTTGCTGTATCGTACCGATGACAAGCACCTCGTTCGTTCGAATCAGCCAAATATCGATCCAAATTGCAATCACGTGATCTACCTCACTCATATTTGATTGAATTGGTCACGCAACATTGCTTGCGTTTAACTTTCCGGACATGAATGGGACATGCTGAATCAGAGTGAGGAGAATTTATTTTACTTATTCATTGACGGATTACATCATTAGTTCGGTCAAACAAATAATTATATTTCGGTAAAATCAAATGTTGATACTATTAAGTTCCTAGTTCACTCAGAGTGAGAAGAACAATAAAGACCGTCCGATTGTCAGATTCATGTCTGCTGGACTGGATGATGTGCATGTCTCACGCGTTGAACTATACGGCAACGGAGACGAAATGTTTTGAGGGATCAAGTCTAATAACATTGTCAGTTCACCTGATAACCATCGGGATCCGTAACATTTCCCTTGTAGTTCGTCAAATTTTGTATGATTTTATTTGTGAATCTACCTGAGATGGCTGTTTCAAACGTCTATCACGGTGAGGATATTTGCCTATTGGTAACTGATTGCTTCGGCGTATAATCGAAGATGACATTGTGCGTGTTGTGTTCGTGAAATGTCTGTTGGGAAATCTTATAACTAAGACTCCTTGTGATCATCATCAGGCTTATCTGGTTTGTAATTTCTTCAAAGCTGACTGAGTTGTCTGATTCACGGTTCTGTTTCCTCTCTCAGAATACGTACAGCTTGCGGGTCTTGAAATCCTTGTTCGATATTGTGTTCTGAAATTCTTTTCATACCAATTGTCGCCACTATTGAATTTGCGTTTAGGTTGTTGCTTTTGAACTTCGAGTGCTATTATATACCGATGGTTTGTGGCTAATTTAGAGAGCATCTTTTTGAATTTTGTTCTTATTTTCCTCCCAAACGAACTTTCATTCACTACTTGATGTAGAGTTTGGTACGTTTTGGTTTAGAGTGATCCTGTAGTTACACAAAAAAGCCAAGGATATTATCTAACTGTTGTACTCTCGACTATTTTTGCATGTGTCCACAGATTGTGCAATATGATCCTTCTATCTATGGACGCAGCGGTGGAGTTTGAATGTGCCAATGCCAATCAAGAAACACAGTTTGGAAAATTTGTTTGATGCAAGACTGAGCACCGCTACCTGGAATAAGAACCGAAGGGAAATCTAATATACTAAGTATGCGTCTAAGGAAACAGACGGCAGATTGGCTAATGGAGTGTTTTATAGTAATAACTTCTGATCATTAGGATGTAGAATCAAAAACGAGCAGGAGACCGACGTCACGGATTGGCCCAGCAAAATCAATACGGACATGGGTTCATGTTTTTGGTGAAGATGTTCTTGACTGCGGTTCGATTTGTCTAGCTGATTCCAAAGCTCTTGCACCTAGGCTGCACTCTCCAACCAATTCTTGAATGTCACGATCCTTTAGATGCCAATCAACCTATGTACACATCAGGGATTTTATGTTGCTGAGCTGCGGATGTCCAGATAGGTTACCACGGCAAGCGATATTCGCCGAAGCAGATACCGAGTGGAAGAAAACCCAGGGTGGTCAAGCCAAGACCTAGCACGAGGGTATGAAAACCCTGACCAGGGGACTGGGCCATATAGGTCCTGTTGGGCTCCCTGGCTGAGGACCTCAGGATGATCGTATCCGATGGTTAGAGACTCTGAGTGATATGGCTGGGTGTCGAAGACAGTGGCGTTCGTGTACCTTCTCAATTTCTTTGCAAAATTAGACCACTGAACTTCTCCATTTTTTGTTTGACTCCACTATCAACTTTCCTTTCTTCTCCTGTTCTTCATCCAAATGGGTAGCAAAAAGACAGCAACCAAAACCGGAGCAAGAATATGCGTGGTTAATGGTTGTACAAACTGAACTGAATTGAACTGAACTGAGCCCCGGATGTGCTTCATTGAACTGTTTTACTACGTCAGTCGTTTATGATCGGCTGGGAATCACGTCATGCGAACAACTCGCGAGTGAAAAGATTTGAAATTATCTCTGGTAATCCGTATTTCAGAATGCTTTGTTATGATTTATAGCATTGCCGGCGTTCGTGCTTGCTTCGTCATTTCCACCGTGATTGTCATGCATGAACTGGCTTCTATGAGCACCTGCTGAATTTATTTCTTAACATCATTATAAGGTTTTTGTGATGTTGTTAACGAGAATGCATCTGAATGCCCAATCTCTGCGGAGGATCTATGTTGAAATTCAAACCTATATCCCAGTAAAATCGTTGCTCACCTTTGTCGACCACCAGTAGTATATGGTGACATACCCTTATTGTTGGTAAATGTGGCCAGAAGCGATTTGTGGTCTGTTTGAAATATAAAAGTTCTACCATGGATCATTTTGCATGATTTGTGTATCGCAAAAGCAATCCCCAGAGCCTTCTTCTCAGTTTGGTTGTAATGTTGCTAGACAGATGTTAGCGATTGGCAGGTGAGTGAGGTAGTTTTCAGAGAGCCATCCAAAAACCCATATGCCGTAATTCGAAGCATCTGATGCTATCATAATGTCAAGTGATGGGTTGTAATGTGTTAAAAATAATGGGGTTAGAAAAATCGTTTTAAATGATTCAGAAACATTGTAATAATCAAACATTCGGTTGTGTTTATCAAAAGGGGAGAGTAAATTGTTCAAAGAGTTTCTGAATATGTAAATATCAGATACCAGCTGTATGTAAAAATTGATCAAATTAAAAATGGTTGAAGTCTATCAATGTCAGTGAGTGTTTTACCTTTTTGATCCGGAATTTTCACCAGAAGTATCAACCGTAAACCCTAAATACTTACTTATACTTTTGATCAACTAACTCCTGCAGGAGGATAAGTCGGCTTCTTGGATGTGTCTAATGATGGCGGCAAGGTTGACGCAGTGTGAAACCCAGTTCTGGCTCAAGTTACGAATTCTTCATACGGATTGGAGGCCCAGTAATACCGAATCCACCTTGATCGTACTGCTCCAGGTCTTCAGTGGACCACCGAGTCGGCAACGCCATCCACGGCACGTTGCAGGGGCTACAGAATGTCGCGGGAGTTGAGTGTCGGGCCTTCGGAGCACATGACTAAGTCACTGAAGGCGCCGGCGTTGTAACGTTTTTGAAACCTTGTCAATATTCAAGCAGCGCCATCGAACCTCACCATTGGAAATCCGATCGGTACAATTTACTTTAAGCACCAAAGATCAAAGACTTGTCGCAATATCCGATCTACGGTGTAACTGAATAACACCGGTGATAGGAGTCAACCTTGCCTAACTCCAGAGATTAACTTAACTGGTTCTTCTCCATAGGTAAGGACGCGTGCCCGGGTTCCTGAGTAGTATAACTTTAAAAGCCCGATGAATTTCTCAGGCATCCCGTCAGACAGCGCTATGCACTACAAGGATTCTCTATCGACAGAGTCGAACGAAGCGCGAAGTCAACGAAATATACAGTGGAAGGCTGTTGGAACTTGTAGCGGTGTTCCAGAATCCTACAGAGAGGGAGGATTTGTTCAATACGGTCTCTTCCGCGGCGAAACACCCCTTACTTCGGGCGAGTGTGGGTATCTCTGATGACTGCCAAGCGATTAAGCAGTATCACTGCAAACAATTTAACCGCCATATCAATGAGGCTAATACTCTTGTAATTTTCGCATCTAGATCTGTTGCCATTTTTGGAACGGAGACTTAAGTTGAAGCCGTCCAATCTTTTGAAGAAACTTATCTTTCCCAAATGGTGTGGAAAAAAGAGTGCAGAGGAAGTATTAGAGTTGGCAAGTAAGCTTTGAATAACTCTGATCGTATCCCGTCTTGCCCAAAGACCTTCCTGCTTTTCAGAAAAGTTCAGTGATGGTTTCTGTTGTACTAGGTGGGTCACAATTGATGTCATACATCTCTGGACTGCTTGACACATGTAGAGAATCAGCCTAGTTTGATGGGCGGTTGAGCAGCCCGTCGAGTGTTCAGCTCAGTTTCCTGATTAAGTTGTCCTATGGTGCTGCGCAACAGTGATTCCGAAGTTTGCCTCTTTACTGCTGCGACACAAATCAGACGGAAAAGCTTTCCAAAGGCCGCTGCGACTGTTGCAGCCTCCATTCTGACTGCAATCGCTTTTGAGTATTGTTTACAGCTCCTCGGCGGAGCGTATGACTTGGCAACAGAGAATCCGAAATTCAGGAGATTTGATCAATCGCACATCTCTTGCCTTTGCGGAAAACTGCAGTGTACGCTTGGAGATCCAGTCTTTTTGTGGCGAAGAATCTCACCTAACTGCCCCAGTGCCGCTTCTTTGATGGATGTTTTCAGCATAGACCAACTTGCGTCGATAGTTGAGTCATCAGAGAAAGTTACGGCTATGTTGGAAGCGGTTGGGTTCAGCAGTACCTACCTTCTCTCAGGTCGTTCCAAGAGCGCGACGCTGAATTTGCCCGGAAGACGAGTCTTCCGGTAAGTAGTCAGGTGGACTTTGAAGCGGGCGCGTACAAGGGTATTGTCCGTGCCGTTCCGGTTTCCAGTTTCTGCGCCACAACAGCAACGACAGTCTTCAACCGAAGAGGCCCAACGAGCACGTACCAAAATATAACCAATCTGGTGTGCCGTTCGACCATCATTTGAGTACCACGTGAGCAGGTGTTTTCCGGGGGTGCTGAAAACGAGTGTTGGCCACGACCAGCCAGTTAAGGTCAGCAAATGTGACCAGGCCATTTTCTCGGGGTTTAACAAGGCCGAACTTTCCCAGAACCCTAAATATTTCGCACAGAAAAGAAATAATATTTTCCGAGCTGATGTGAAGCACAAATGTTGCATGCGATTGTTTAATTTTCCCATGCGCTTCAGTGCTAACAATGATAGTCATCCGCGTAAGGGGTGGCCAAGGACAACCCAGTCAATATGATGTCGGTCATCCGCGGATATACGGTAGGTGCATATTTAACATCAGATTATGATCTGTTGCCGC